CATAAAATGACCATATGTCTCACATTCAGAGCAAGAAGAGGGTAGGGTAGGAAGTAGAAAAGTCAATATTTTACACATCGAGTAAATGTTGTTGCGTAGTAAACTTAGTTGCTCAGAGAGACTGATATAATTGAGTATTAAACTTAGCCTGAGTAAATGGTGTCAGCAAAGAAACAGGTTTATGAGTTGAGTAAGCAAACATATTTGCTACAGAAACTCAGTATCTGCATGTTTAGGAGAGAACTCTATTTATCATTCAATATTTATCCCCTACCCTACATAGTTCTGATAAAAGACTTGAAGGATACCTGAATAAATAAGTGGAGTATTGATGACTTGGCATTTCATGGCTCTGTGCTTGCCACAGCTCAGAGAACTGAATATAGAAAGTTGTGAATTTTTATTTAAAAATAAGTTTACAAAAGAAGTAGTAACTTTTTAAAGTTGAAAACATTCTGATAATGAAGAAGCTAGTATGTAGGTTATTAAGTATCTTTCCTGGAAAATCATTACCATCATTTTACTATATATGTGTATATTTATTTCTCTTTTAAAAATGAAAATTTTTGAAAGTGCTAAATTGTGTTTCTGTTCTTTCTGAACACTGTGAAAATTGGTCAATAAAACTAACTTCTCTTTCTAACAGAGAAATTTATGAAACAAGTCCCATAACTTCAGAGTATAGTTCTAACAACTACCTGTTCCAAGATTTGAGTATCCACTGTAGAATTATTAAGGAATGCTCTATTTAGAATTTACCAAAGTAGCAAATGTGAAAAAAAAAGTTGGTGACTGTCAAAATCAGAACATACTTACTCTCTAATTTAAGATTAACACTGATATTAGAATAAATTATGTATAATTTCTTTATAAAGATTGCATGCTGTGGTCTTAATGAGAATATTCTGAATATTTTGTGACAATTGTCAGATTGATTATCTAAGACTTTACCTTAGTCTCTTTTGTAAAGACCTTCAATACAAATACAAATCATTCCTTATTGAGAATTTGAGTGATATATACTATCATTGACTTAAATAGCTGAAGTCCTACTTACCTTTTTTGTCCTATTAACTTCTAGCTACCTTTTAAATATCTAATAACTGTTCATTAAAATCCATTACTAATTTAAGAAAATTGACAAAGAAATTGTCTAAAGCCCCTGGAGTCAAATTGGGTGCTAATTATAATTTTTACTGCAATGGCCTTGAGACTTGGATTTTATTCTCTACTGTGTGAGGAGTTTGGCCAATTTCACATAACCTGTTTTTAACAAGATAAGAGTTGAAGGAGGACAGGCTCTAGTTATGTAGCCTTATTGGTACAGTGACCTTGAAAAATGGTTGACAAACTTCATCTTGCTGATGATGGGTCATTGGTAGAATATTTAAAAACCCCATTGATAGAATATTTTAATATTCTGAAGTTAGATTACGGTACAATGTGAGAGTGTCAGAAAGAGAGTGGGAAGAGAATTTTAATATAAATAAAATAATTGACTTTTAAATGCACTAAGGCAAAAAGAGCTGTCCGGGAGATGGAGATGAATTAATTGACATCTTATTCCCATATACTACTATACTTTTATGGATGCAAATTCCAGCTTGGGAGTCAAAAGCAATAAACTGGTTGATATTAGTGAAAGATACTTAATAACTGACATAAATTATGTTTTTAATTTTATAAATTTATATTGGAATTTGCTCTTTTTGTTTATAAGACTTTTGTGGGGTTTTGGTCTGGTATAAATAGTAGAAATCTAGAGATGGTAAACAATATTTAATTATGTAGCTCTGGGAAAAGAAGATTCATAGCTGTTATATAAATTTATAAAAATTACAGTTTTAATTATTTCACAATAATTGTTATTGTGCAATCTTAGTTTCATTTATTGCCCACATGCACTTAATTGCATATGTAGTTTATCTTCAATAACTTTTACATTCAACAGGCTTGACATATTAATCATTTGTAAACTTCCATTATGAGAAACCAGATTATGGATGTGATTCATAAATCATTTCCTAACCAATTGCTTCAGTTCATTCCAAATAAAAATGCAAGCAATTTATATAGATTATAATATTTTGAAATATTTTGTTAAATTATTATTATGTCATTTATTTTATTAATTTATTAAGCAAGTATATATTGAGCATCTATGTTATCCTAAGAATATTTCTAGACACTGAATAGACAGTAGTGGAGACATGAATAATTATTCTTGCACTTATGGACCTTACATTTTAGTTAGGGAGCGTAAGACACTAAATCAGAAATTGAAAATACTTATCAAGTGGTGATATGTGCTATGGGAAACCAATAAAACAGAAATCTGAGGTAAAAAGTGACAGGTAAGTGTGAGATGAAGTTTTAAGTAGTCAGGCATGGTCATACTGGGAATACATTTTCTGTGCAACCAAGTCAAGGAGTTGAGGGAGTGAGCTTCATGCTTATCGGGAGGACGTATAAGCGCAAAGAACTTGAGGCAGGCATTCACCTGGTTTGTGTTGAGGACTTTTCCATTTACTTCATGCCATGGAAGGGTTTTGAGCAGAAGAGGCAGAATTGACTCACATAATTAAAGATAATCATGGGACAAGGACATCAAAAGGGAGCCAAAATTACAAATTATCTCTATAATCCTGAAAGAATCTTCCCTAGAAGGAAAATTGGTAGCAATAGTGGAGGTGGTGGAATGTCAGATTCTGGAACTGTATTAAAAAGAATAGCCAATGAACAACATGTTCTGAGAGTGAGAGATGAGTCATGGGTGCCTAGAAATTTCTTGCCAGACTAGAGGGTGGAGTTGCCATGAAATGAGTTGGGAAAGGAGGAGGAAGTTTGGGCAAAGAAAATTTGAGATTAAATTTTAGGTTTCTTTCTATGAGCTATATGGAGACAAGTCAAGGGCAAAATATCCATGTTAGAGTTCAGCAAATGTTATGGATCTGAGATAAAATTTCATGAGAAAATGTTTTAAAGTCATGAAGCTTGATGATAGGAATAGCTTAGTGTATGCTCACCTGAACTCTGAGGCACTCTGATGTCATTATTTAACATTAAGAAGATGAGGGACAATTGGCAATTGAGAGTGAGAAAGGACAGAGGAGGAAAACTAGGAGAAAAGTATGTACTAAAATCTAGCAAAGAAAACATTTCAAGAAAGGAGGGTGATGAGTTATGTCCAGTATTACTCAGGTGTTAGGTATGTGGTGGAAAAATGTTTCTTTTAGCAACATAGAGATCAACTTGATATGTAAATTTCAGTAGAGGTGGTAAGGGTAGGGGAAAATGGGAGTAAGTTTCTGAAATATGTAATAACACGAAGACATCATGTTAAGTAAAAGAAGTCAAATACAAAAAGCCACATTTTGATGAGTCCATTTATATGAAGTATCCAGAAAGGACAATCCATAGAGATAGCAGATGCCTGGTGCCAGAGACTGAGTAGTAAAAAATAACCCCATTGGTTATTGCCAATGGGGCTGGGGTTTTGTTTTGTGATGAAAATATTTTGGAATTAGTAGTGGTGATGATTGCACGTAATTGTGAATGTCCTAAAAGCCATTGCATTGTGTACTTTCAAAATGCTAAAGTGGTGAACTGAATGCTATGGGAACTTTATTTCAATAAAACATTATACAAAGATTATTGAAACTGTCAAACAAGAAGGGGTTGGGACTGAAGGAAGATGTGGTGGTGACATCAGTGAGCATAGTCAGAAGTTAGAGAGCTTAGGTGGAGGGTCAGATGGTGAGATTTTGACCACTTTGTATACTGAAGCTTTCCTCCTGAAAATATGTTAATGGACAGTAGAGGAGGAAATAGCTAGAAATATTCCCATAAACTGGCAAGAGGAGAAGTGTTTTCTGTATGTGAGGTCTAGAGTGGGGAGTGACTCAAGTCACAGGAGGAAAAACACATGGGCAGTAGTGCAGGTAAGTTGATGATGAGACATGTGAGCTTTCTTTTGATTTCTCTAATTTTCCTAATGAAATGTGAGGCAAGATGATTAGCTGAGAATATTAATAGGGAAGGGGAACTAGCAATTTGAGAAGAGAGTAGTGGGCTTTTCACTGTCTAAAAATGGAGTAAATGGAGAAAATTAGGAAAAAGTAGTGAGATGGTCTGAGATGCTGAAAAGCTTGTAGGGCCTCATGCTGTCAAATTTTTAGAGTTGAGATATAAAGGGAATGAACTGGAAAGATAGGTGGGGTGATGGTTGTGTAGTGGGTCATAATTAAGATAAAGTGCTATCATTACTAAATAATGCCAACACTCAGATGAGTGGTCACAGGTTATGTTTCACCAATATTCTTCAGATCACCAAGAAGAAAAAAATTAAGAAATGAAGAGGCAAGGTGAATATGAATATTGAAATGACAAGATTCAAGAGACAAAATCTTCAAGGACTGAGGGTTAGTGTACCAGTGACTGAACAAGTTGGGACAGCATTTAATACCAAGAGATTCAAGGCTTGGGTATTTAGGGAAGTAATAGAGTGTGAAATATCTAGAAGTGGCAATGGAGGCAGGAAGGACAAGGACTCCTGTTCTACCTTGAACTCTCTTTTGAGGAGAGCTGCTGGGAGATAAACAGTTACCAATCTAGAGGACTTCAGGCAAAGTAGTCCCAGGACAGACAACAGCTTCTAGCTGAAAGGACATTCTATATTGTATCTGACACATGTACAGTTATCTTTCTGATAATAGATTATGAATTCTACATTAGTACTGAACCTACTGCTGTAGAAACATGGAAGATTTGGCTTTGGAGGTTGAAAGTCAGTCAAAACAGAGATCTGACTAAAAGACATCAAAATTGTTATTTTTTTCACTGTGTCTGTTTCTGTGTGTAATGAAGTGCATAAGAGAAGATGCTTTCAGGGAGAAGAGTTGAGTGGAAAGTGTTTATAGAACAAGAGGCAATAATTTGAGAAATATACAGTTCTTTCCAGTTGCATCTACATGTCACTTGTCAAATTTTACATTTACTAGATGAAAATTTACCATGTGAAGAAACATCAGATACTAAGGAGAATCTCTGCCATCCAGATACAAGTCTCTGCCGAATTGACTCTACAGATAAAGGATTCAAGTGTAAGTATAAACTCCTGTCTACTAGTGTGCAGCCCATCCTGACACTCAACACTAGAAAGGAAGTAAGACAACAGGGTTACTTACTCCATGAACTGTGGTGTTCTAGTTTTAAGTGAAGGTGGTATAGATGTCAAATTTTGATGTTGTTTTGTTCAACAGTTTCATTAAACCCCATCTTAGAATTATATACAGTCTTTATTCTTTAAAGTGTCAATGTGATAGTAAGTAGTGATTTGAATTAATGAATTAATGATCTATGGTAGTGCAGTGAGTTGTTGGTGGATACTCTATGGTGGTATTACTTGATGGGGTTACCCCTATATTACCTCTGTTAAAAATAACGAATGAACTGGCCCTCCCTGGTGGCACAGCAGGTTAAAGCACAGCACTGAGAATCTAAAGCCGCTTCTGTGTGAGTCTGATTCCCGCCTGCCCCGGAGGAGACCACATGGCGTGGCAGACCTCTCCTGACCCGCCCGCTGCTCCCCTCAGCAGTGTACTTCATCGATCTGCCTGTTCTGTTCCCCACTCTGTCTCTGGTGAAGCCTCTCACTGCCCCTGAGCCTCTGGCCTGTACCCCAGTTCTGTATGCACAAATAAATAAATCTTTTAAAAAAATAACGAATGAACTACTTCATAAAGTAAGTTCATTTATGCTGCTTAAAAATTGTAATTAAGCATAATGCCTTCCAGCTCCATCCATGTTGCTGAAAATGGCATGAGTTTGTCTTTTTTGATTGCTGAATGGTATTTTGTTGTGTATATATACCACAGCTTCTTGATCCAGTTACCTTGTTTATGGCATTTGAGTTGTTTCCATATCTTGCCTATTGAAAATGGTAAAGATGAATGCAATATATATAAGGGTGCATGTATGCTCAGTGAAATAAACCAAAGGGAAAAAGAAAAATATAGGATGTTTTCACCTATGAGCGGAATATAGGGGGACCAAATAAAGGATCAGGAAAAATAATAAAAATAATAATAAATAAAAAGTTGATCAGCTAACTATAAATCAGAGACATTCTGCAAGGGAGTGGAAAGCAGAGGGATCAAAACAGGAGGGAACAGCCAGGGGATTATGGTGATGGTTCATGGGTGAATTGGTGGTGGGAATTTTACAGGTACTACTTATGAGAGTGGATTAAATGAAGAACTTTTGAAAAACAGAGTTGCTAGTATACTGTAGGCTTAATGAGCCAAAGTTTTCAGATATGACTTTTGAAGGGGGGAGAGAGAAAAGGAAGGGTCCAGTTAGAGAGAAACTGTAGTGGATTGATGGTCCACCAGGATCCTTTTCACCTTTCTTTAGTGTGTCAAGTGTGTGGATTTGAAATCGACATGTGTGACTGGACGTCAGAAGCATCTTCTGGGCAAATTTCCTGGACACGCACAAAAGTAAGAGATCTTGAACTAGCATCTATACCTCAGCAGGATCAAAATCATGATGATGAAGGTGAGAAATAAAAAAAAATAATACTCCTTATATATTATTTTCAGAATTGTGAATTATTTTGACTAGTGTGAAAACATTCAGCAGGGGTCTGACTGTGTTTTGTTATAACTATATTGTGCCTAAATATAGAAAGTGAAAAACGCTATAATTCTATCTAGTTAAAAGATACTAGGTTAATAGCTTTGATTATTCTAAATTTTGTTACTTTCTTACCATCAGGAGAGATAATAGATTTTATAAGAACAAATAGGGAAATTATTAAACAGTTTCATCAACCTACTATTTCTCCTTATAACTGTGGTATTGTTAATAATATGTTTTTTCCTCTGAGTCTGACTTTAAATTTGTAATTTCTCTCCTTTCCACCCCATTGGCATTGTTGCTTCACCTGCTCTTCAGCATTTGGTGATTTCAGTGTTAAGGCTTTTGTCAGTGTAACTGGAGGGTAGTGAATAGTGGTTTGCTGTTGTTTTAATTTGCATTTCTCTGATGACACAATATGGAATATCTTTTCATATGCTTATTTGCCATCTGTATGCCTTCTTTGGTCTGCTAAGTTCATTAGGTGTTAGTCTTTGTTTCTATTTTTCTCCCCACACAGGTTTAAATATTTCCATATCCTTTAATTTTTATATCACTTTGTGGATATTTTACTTTTGGCATATTTACTTTATATTGAATTTCATTAATAAAACTGAAAGTGCTTCAGTACTTTGGTCTTCTAGAATAGAAAGACCTTGACCCACTAAAAAAAATTCATGTTGTTATATGATTGACTATAATAATTACATTAATTTCAGTTGCACAACTAATATGACTTAAATTTATGTTGAAAATGGTTACCACATAAGTTTAAGTTACATCAATCACCATATATATAGCTATAATTTTTCTTGTGATGGTAAGTTTTAGGATTTACACTTTTAGTGATGTTCAAGTGTCCTATTCAATATTACTGACTATAATATATTTCCACCTATGGTAATTATGATTATATTACATTCCACAACTTATTTATCTCATAATAGGAAGTTATATTTGAACACCTTCACTCATTTAACCAAACTGTGTGTCATGCCCAAACTCTGAACAACTACTTTATTTATTGTTGTTTGCACTTATGATTTATTTTCTTTTTGAGATTCCACATATAAGTGGGATCACATAGTATTTATGTTTTTTTCTGCCTGACTATTTTACTTAAAAAACTGTTTCAAGGTCCATCTGTGTTTTTGAAAATGGCAGATTTTCTTCTTTTCATGGCCAAGCAATATTCCACTACAGGCTTGCATATATTTCTTAATACAAGATGGACACATATGTTGTTACTATAGCTTAACTGTTGTAACTAATGCTTCATTGAATATGATGTAAGACAGGCGTATGTTTTTTTTTAAGATAATAGTTTTGTTTCCTTTGAATAAATAACCACAAATGAAATTGCTTGACCTTATGGTAGTTCTATTTTTAGTATTTTGAAGAACTTCCATACTTTTTCCATAGTGATTGTATCAACTTATATTACCACTACAGTGTACATGTGTTCCATTTTCTATAAATTATATCTAACCTATCAGTATACTTCTTATAAGAATAATGAATTTTCATATTGAAGGTATTATTAAGCTTTGATTTTAGAAATTAGGGACATACTTCAATGAATTTCAGAAATCACATATGAAAATGAAATCTTATAACTTGTAAATGATGTAATGATTTTAAAATATCGTATGCTTTCTAATAAAACATTTGTGTTTCAGTTGGTTTTGAAAATTTCAAAAATAAAATAATGATAATTCAAACAGAAATGATCTGACTTAAAAAAGAATGCTTCCCTTTCCTTTATTTTTCAGGCTATTCTATGTGGATAGGGGCTAAGACTGCCACTACCCTTACCCATCCAGACAGCAGGGCTTATCTAAGTAGTTCTGTGTGTTACTGCTTGGGAAAGAGTTGTCATCTTCAGTTCTATTATTTTATGGAAAACAGTGTTCTGAGAGTAGGACTCTATAATAATAAGGTAAGAAGAAACTTGCATTAACTTAAAATTCATTGAATAGGTGAAATTCTATTCTTGACAGCTTGCATTTGTATTGCACAGTTATATGTAGGCTTTAGGTATTTAACTGGACTGAGTTTGGTATAACTTCAAAAACAAATTATTAAGAAGCCAGTTTAGGAGATACAATCATGTGAAAGGTTAATGTGCTATCTGTATAATATTATTTCATACAGTTTTTAAAGTTCATAGAAGTTTATTGAAGGAACAATAGTTCTAATAAAATGAGATGTTAAGGATGTATCTTGCTAGCTCTGTACTGAAGTTCTGCTGTAATCTCTTCTGGATTTTAGATCTATATGTCATTGAGGCTGTAAATGTGATGAAAGTAAATTATTGGGATAATAGTAGTTATGAATTTAAAAAGTGGTAATTATTGATTAAATAGAGGCAGGTGTATCTTTTGAAAATGGTACATCTGGAAGAGTGAAAGTTCCAGCACTAGCGCTTGTGAATAAAATAAATTCACACATTGTATCTCTAACCTTCTGCTGAAAATCCTCTACAAGGGGGAAATTACTGCAGATACTTGCAGAATTTCTATTATAATGAAAATTTACTAAAGAAGTCACATGAATGAATAGCAGTCATTCTAGAAATGGTAAACATTTGACCATAATTGCAGGAATTCTGACATTGGACAAAGAAAGAGGGTGAAAGCAGCCATGTCCTTTTTCTTTGGCTCAGGATGCTTTGAACAAATCCAGCTGAAACTTCCCAATGCCAACATCAGGTTCATTTATCAACAAAAGTTAGTTGATTAGCTGTACTTACTAAGAGCTACCAACCATTCACCAGTAGCATTTTCTTCTTTAATTTGAAGTATCATCAAACTTAATTCTGAAGGATCAGAATATTACAAGATATTTGGAAATTCAAGAAAACTCTTTCTGTTCTCATTTTATGGTATCGTCTTTCTCACTTTCTTTTGTGTGATTAATTTTTTATTTAAAGCATCATTTTAATACATATATACATGCTGCACTAGGGTCCCTGCCACAGGACTAATTTCTGTTCTCAGCCATACAATTGACATTTTTTACTACATTTACCCATTTCATCCCCCTTCTGTCATGTCTGGTATCTTTTCGTGCCTCTTCTTTTCACAGACATTTTGAAGAATAAATTTGGATGAGTATTATTGTTACGTGATCGAGTAAATTTTCCTGATTTAAAATGCAATTTCTAGATTCTATCATTTATTTTTATAACATTTTTGTAGTAGTATTTGGCAGCCTGCTGCTCTAGAATCTATTTGATATTTTTCATTCAATTTGTGGTAAGGTGTGAGTGGGTGGAGGATTGAAAGCATCTCCCTGCCTTTTCTGTAGTACTCTAAACTTTCCAACACATGAGAGAAATTTTACCAAATAAAGGTTGAACTTTATCCAGATATGTTTATCATTCATGCTTTAATTTTCTTTCAGTTACTGCCACCTGAGTCATGTGAGTCAAGTCCAGAAACATAGTAAATTTTTTAGAGTAATATTTTTTAGTTTATATTATAGCTAAAGTGGCTTTAATATACACATACACACAGAAAATAGTTCTTTTCACATGGCAAGTACCTTTTTTAATATTCATTAAATATGGATGCAATATTATTCTAAATTTAAGTAGAAATTTGTATCATATATTTTCTAATATTGAGGATTATTTTAATATCCTGAACTCCAGTGATGGACTTTAGAAGTTTCACAATATATGTATAATGGAATTAGGAATTATTTAAAGTAAGTAACATCATCCCTCTTGTGGCTTTGGGACTGTGCAAGAAAAGATTGAAACAAATTGGCTTCAGATACCACATATAAGAAATATAGAGTTAAGATTCTGTTACCAAGGAATGGGCTTATTGTTTGATGTACATAGAAACCAATACTATGATACTGATTTTTGATAAAAGAAAGAGTTATTTTAAGATTGAACTGCAAGACAAGAAAATTTCAAATCTGCCTCATTAGTCTGAAGTAGGCAGGACTTTTATAGGACTGGAGGAAGAGGGTAGGGGAGTGAAGAAAGTGGAGGCTCTTGATGTACTGGGAACAAAAGTGGGGAATGAACTTGCAAGTTTGTTTATTATGGGAAATTTGATAGGGTCTAGTGACAAAAAGATAGGACAGTGAAAGTGTGGGTCTAATCTGAAAAGTCAAGTAGGACTGGTAAGTCATAAAGTGGTCTACTTATTTTGAAGTATGGGTGGCGCAGTGGGTTAAAGCACAGCACTAAGAAACTAAAGCCACTTCCGCATGAGTTCGATTTCCGCCTGCCCCGGAGGAAACCACATGGTGTGGCAGACCTCTCCTGACCCGCCCGCTGCTCCTCTCAGCAGTGTACTTCCTTGATCTGCCTGTTCTGCTCCCCACTCTGTCTCTGGTGAAGCCTCTTGCCACCCCTGCACCTCTGGCCTGTACCCCAGTTCTGTATGCATAAATAAATAAATCTTTAAAAAAAAGTCATTTAAGTTTAGGAAGAACTCTTTCTCTTTTCAAAAAAAAAAAAATTAAACCCATTTTCAGATAAAATGCAAGGGTATTAATTAGCATTTTGAAAAGGATACAACTGCTTCAAATTATTCTCAGAAAATGAAAGTGAGAGAATGTGATGAATATAGCTTGCCATGCTGGGTCAATAAAAGCATTTGTGGAGAATATAGTTTATTGATGCTAAGTGACTGAAGTTGCTTGCACCAGAAATAGAATATACTTATTTTCATGTATCAAATTTTTATAACTCCTGTTCATCTTGATGTGACTTGGGACCTATCAGTAGCAAACATGTCTACTATAGATGTGTCATTAGTTTGTGGAAGTCTTAAGAGTTGATATAGATGTGTAATGGTTTTATATTATTTTCTGAAATATTTAAGACTTAAAAATTTGGAGTAGGCATCAGTGGGTAGAGGACTAAGTTAATAATAAATTCATTTTTTAGAAAACCATGGGTATGTATGAAATACATGAACCTGAGTGAGGAAATAAATGCTTTAGAGAGTCTGTAGAAATATGAATGTCATGTGTCATTTGAACTACAACTAGATGTCCCTTTCCAGTGCTGTTTCCTATTTCATAGGAGGGCACAGAGAGAGGTTGAGTTCAACCCAAAACATTTATGCCACTGTCTGCATTTTCACTTTAACATATGAAAATGCAGTACATCTTACAGGAAAATATTCTGAACAGTCTGGTCTGTCCTTACAAGAGAAATGGCAAAGTAGCTTGAATGTTTGATAAAATCTAAAGAAAAATAGGATTATTTCAGAGCATAAAAGCCCAATACCATAGGCTAAATTTTGACTGTTACAGACTTTTAATGAGTATCTTCCCTCACAACATAATTTGGCATACATTTTGCAACTTGGGAAATTATCATTTTACGGATGAATGATATAGCATACTCTAGAAGACATAAAAAGCTTTTTATAGGCTAACTAGGAGTGCCAAATTGTAGAAATATAATCTTCAGAAAGTAATATATTATTTGTAACATAATGAAATTCTCCTTCAGTGGAAATAGATTATACTGAAAATATATATGATAAGACTTAACATTTTTTATATTAAATATTTGCCAGTCATTTCTTTTTTTTCTAGTATGGTAAAACCCAACATAAAGCAATGTCAGTGGGATCAATATAAATAACTAGCATTGTGAATAGATGTTTAGAATTTTAATTTTTAAGTGCTGTACTATAAAGATTCCATTCATTTTTTTAAAAAGATTTATTTATTTATGCATACAAGAACTGGGGTACAGGCCAGAGATGCTGGGGATGCGAGGATTCACTCATGGGACAGAGTAGGGAGCAGAACAGGTAGGTTGACTGAAATACACTACTGAGAGGAGCAGAGGTGGGTTAGGAGAGGTCTGCTGAACCATGTGGGTCACCTCCCTGGCCAGGGATTTAACTCATGCTGCAGTGGCTTCAGAAAGCTTCATTGTGCTGTGCTTTAACTTGTTGTGCCACCAGGGAGGGCCCAAGATTCTATTCATTTTTACTGCCTTTACTGTCTACCATAAAATACAAGCAGCTTTACTATGTTGATGTGCTTTACTTATTATTGTTATAAAAGATTACTTTCATAGAGCAGTTTTAGTTTCATAGAAAAACTAAGGGGAAGATAAAGTGTCTATATTCCCTTTCACACATGTAAACTATTCCATCATTAACATCCTGTAATACAGAGTACGTTTGTTGTAACTGATGAATGTAAACCAAGCACATCCTAATTACCCAAAATTCATAAATGATATTAGACTTTATTCTTGGTATAGTACCCTGTGTACTTATGGACAAATGAGTAATGACACGTGTCCCCATTATTTTATCACACAGAGCATTTTCACTGCCCTAGAAATCCTCTGTGTCTGCTTATTCATTTCTTCCCACTTCCATCCGCCATTGAAAAAAAAGAAAAAGTAGGTTTTTTTTTTTAAACCAATGTATTAAGTTTCCTTGGGCTTGGTTATATAGGCAGGGTAAAAGCTGCTAAGATGCAATTCAGAGAATATGTATATGTATGTAAATATGAGAGTGGGATTTGGGAAATGAGTCATTTTTTAATCTTTGAATCAAAGGAAGAAATATTTTGGACGTACAACACATCAACTTACAGAAAATGGGTGAAAGCAGATGTTTCAATACCAAGAAATCTGAAGACATTTAAGGTAAAAGGGACAAAACAAATGGACTATGGTGATGGCACACGGGTGAATTGGTGGTGGTGGGAGCCCCTGGGGATTACAACTGAGGTGAAAAAATGCACAAAATGAAGAACGATGTAAAATAATAATAATAATAATGTTTAGCTTTGCAATAGTGAATTTATGACCAATGGCTAAATTTAAGCCAGAATTTATGACCAATGATCTGAGGCATCTGGCAGGGTGGGGTAAGGATGAGATGAGGGAGGATTAGCACAGTAGATTATGACTAAGGATTGTCCATGCCTGGTGACGCGTCAGCTGTGGTGAGGCCACATGAGGGGAGAAATCCTATACTGTCAAAATGTTAATGGGTATAAAGCAACAGTACTTCATTAAAAAAATTAAATAAAAAAAGATGATTAAAGAAATAAATCAGCATTTCAATTAAGGATGTAGATTTGTATATTTGGGGGGAGCAATTACCTATTTATTCCAATTGCACCCAATCTGTCTCAGGCCGAATTTTTCCTGAGTGTAGGAGGCAGTGTGACTATTCTTGCTGAAAGTATACTCATTCTCCATGTGGTCTCTCCCTTACACCCTGCAACACCATGCATTGCAACCAGGGAATCAATTTCATTATGAAAATAATAAATAATAAACTAGTAAATAATAAAATAGTATTGAAAACCTATACAAATGTAAATTATCATGTTTATAACACGTGGATAATTCAACCTATACATCTGATATATACATATCTCAGTGAGAATGCTGTCTCTTAAAAATGAATTTGGGATTTCATTCTGTATATAGAGTTGAGATTGTGAAGAAGAAATATATATTGATAACATCTGCTATCTATCATCTATCTATCTATCTATTATGTTTTCATTAGTGTTTTCTGGTCTTCTCTAATATCATTGCAACATTGAAAAATATGGTAATTCCAAGGGGATCAATACTTTAATTGCTGGTATTATGAATTATTATGTTGATATATATATATATATTTTGCAATGCAATACTTTACAATTCCATTCATGTTGTGTTATATATAAAATATACTGGAGTGTAAGTGTAAAGTAGTGAGAGAGATTGTATGTGTAGTATAGGAAACCAGTTTTATCCCTTTATGCTAATACTGCATTCATACATTTTTGAAGTTGTTAAGTGGAGAATCCAAATAACAATCAGCTGTAACCATGCAGATTTTTATAACCCCATTTACAGCTGAGGTTGGAATTCCTGAACCAGTGTTTTATAACAATATCAGCAAAGTTGAGGTTTATACTATAGCTTATTGACTTAGTGTTTTGATACTATTTTTCTTTTTTTTTAATTTTTAAAAAAGATTTACTTATTTATGCATACAAAACGGGGGTACAGGCCAGAGGTGCAGGGGTGGTAAGAGGTTTCACCAGAGACAGAGTGGGGAGCAGAACATGCAGATTGACTAAGTACACTGCTGAGGGGAGCAGCAGGCTTGTGGGAGAGGTCTGCTGTGCCATGTGGATCACCTCCAGCACTGAGGTGGCTGCGGCTTGCTTGCAGTGCTGCGTCCTAACCCCTTGCACCACCAGGGAGGGCCCCCTATTTAATTTTTCTAAACTGATACCTAGCTTTATAACTTTTTGAACAGGAACTAAAAGGTTGGATTTTTTTTCTTTTTTAAAAATACTGAATATTAAAGTTGTTTTTTAATTGAATCAAAAGATAAAGTAAAATATAAAGAACATAATTTGGGACTATACTAAATTTTAAAGTGTTTATTAAATGTATTTCCATTTCAATAATGGGACATTATTGAAATTAAAATTCAGACTAATCAATTTTGAAATAAACATTAAAATCTGAAATTTTCTGCTATGAAAATATATAGCAACAAGTCCAATAATTTATATACTGTGATACTCATGTGGGAAGAGTATACTTATAATTGCATATGATTTAAGTATTTTCTAGACTAAACTGGAAGTGATTTCAGTATTGGATTCCTCATGCCTTTGACAGAAGAAACTTATTCACAAACTTTAAATTGGAAAGATTAAAAAGGAGTTAGCCTTCTTTCATAAATGTTATACCTTAATAAGATCTTTAGTGCGGTGCAGCAAAACTGCAGTAATAGATACTTTCTGTAACTGTTTTCTGTAACTGTGCACTCTAATATGGCAACCACTGGCCACATGCGACTATTCAACCCTGGAAATGTGGCTAGTACAGTGAAATAGCTGGATTTTAATTTAATTTAAAGTACAATAGCCCTATACAGTCACTGCCGTATTGGACAGGAGTTATTTTCTATAGAATTAGAATTATTTGTTGTAGTCAGCAGTTCATACCTCTCTAATCATTGCTTTTGGCAGAGATTCTAGAAATACTGATACTTTGATATTATCTTAACTTGATTAGTGCTGTATGATTGTTTCACTCCCTAATACTATGTACTTTCAGTAGAGCTATAGTGGGTTGATTAAATAAGATATTTATTTTCTTTAAGTAGCATTTCTTTGATTGTTGGAGAAATTCCTTTTTGGAAATTAATAGATTTTTATATTCTTTAAAACTTTCTATTTTATTGTGTATCTTACTCTGTCTGCCATTCCCCTTCCTAATCTTTCAAAACTGATGTCAATTGTTAATAAAAACAGGAGTTAAAGCTCATATAGAATCAGTAATGATGATATTTATTTCCTGGAATATTTAAAAAAAACAGTTGTCAAGATGATGACTATATACACATTTTCATATTGTCGATGGTTAAGTGGGATGTTATATTTTACTTAAAGCTGGGTGATTTTTCAGGGTCCTCAGTGTATTTATGTCCCCATCTATCTTGTGTGTGTGCATCAGGAGTATCAGATAGGATCTTTGTATCAGTTGTATTTGCTCTTTAAACAGACACTTTTTCCTCAATAATTATTTAATATCTACTATCCGTTGTGTTTTAAAAGAGGTTGCAAGCTCATAAATCATTCACTTTTTTCCCCCTTAAGATTGTTTTTGAAGGGACTACTCTGAACCAAAAAGGCTTTATTGGGCTTGATGCACTCTGGGTTTATGCCTGTGCAGAGTCTCCATTCAGAAAGCTTTGCTCTGCAGATGAATTCACCTGTGCCAGTGGCCAGTGTATAGCCCAAGAATCACTCTGTGACTCTCAGAAAGACTGTTTTGATGAAAGTGATGAAGATCCAGCTACTTGCTGTAAGTAAGCAAATGGTTTACTTGTTCACATGATCAAATTCATAACTGTGGTGAATTTAATAATGTTTACTTTAAAAAAGGCAAAGTTAATATGTATGAAATAAGATAAACATACATTTTCCCTCTGAAGCTACTTGCACTATTTCTTGTGGGGGTCTCTATGCTAATTTTATGCTTTGGTGTTTGTTGCTAAAACTGCAAAATCTCTATTTGTTCAACAAATGAATACTGTGACTTTGTGATATGTGTGCGTGTTTGTGTGTGTATAAATGTGTATATGTTTGCTAGAAGAGGAAAATAGTTGGGAAAAGGAATCTCTTTGTACTTTCCCTTTGGAGACACACCATGCTTTATTAAATGCAAGACTTTTTCCATTCTGATAATTAAATAAGAAGTGGTGGGAAAGGGGTGAAGAGGAAGAAGGCTGCCATTGCTTTTTGTAGAAAGCATGTTAGTCATGCTTGGCATTCATGGGGCTGGGGGATAACCACCACTTTCTTTTCAGGCATTTTCGAGTGAGTTTTTCATAGGTCTGATTCCAAGAAGTCCCATTACTATTCAAGTCTAGCATATATAAAAGGAAATGCAATTTAATTTGCAGTCTACATGAAGGTTACCATATGAGTTAATGTAGCAAGTAAGATGCTTAAATCTCTTTAGAAATGATGAATTCCTACAAAATGAATCCAATTTCTATATCATAAACAAATGGTGTAACTTTTTAATTATTAAAAAATTCAACATTTTGTTTCAGTGTTTTAGCGAGGTATTTAGTGGAGCAAGAGAAAAATATTGCAGCAAGATAGACATCAACTTTTTAATGAAAAGCTCTTTGTACAATTTGCTTCTGTTGATGGGTGAGTAGGACTTTAAGGGCAGTGGAGAAGGATGCAGAAAAGAGGTGATAGGAAGCAAGAAAAAAAATCATCTGCCTGTTTGTAATGAGCAATTTAATTAACTCCCCAAACAAATAGCTCTAAACACTACATTTACGCAGCTTAATTTACTTACCAGTATTATCTCTCGATGGATTTTTTGGTGGCTCTCTTTTTCATTCATCAAACAATAATCTGAGGGAAATTAATTTTTTCTACTTTTCCATTTTGTACTGAAAATTTTAACAGAAAATTTGGCTATTTTCTTTGAAAGAAATTCACTTAATGACTTGCATTATTCTCATTTTCAATAACCAAACTGAATACATTTCCTGCTTTTTTTTTCATTTCTATAGACTGAAACTGAGCTTCCTTTTCTCCTGTGGCGAGGAGCTCTTATGCTTTCCTTTAAATTGGTTGAATCAAATCCTGCTGTAGTAAAAATAGATATTTTAGCATTTGATTTTGGACATATTTTTCTGTTTCTGTTCATGTATTGATGCTTCATTGGTTATATATCTGGCATTTTCCCAGTAGAGTATATTTTGATACCATTCTACTATTTCTTTGTGTGAGGATAACTCAGATGTCTGTGCTTATCAACTAATAGTGTTACTTTTTATTCTGCTAAGTTTTTAAAATAATGTATATCTCTAAAGAAATATATATAAAGCAAATCTGGCATGTTTGCTTGGGTCAACTTTATGTATTGCATAAAGGAAATTGCATATTAAAATATGTATATATTTAATGTTTATAATATATATTATGTATATTTTGATGCCAACATTTATATTTCACATAACTTTTTATGTAATGTTTTCCTCTGAGGGAGAAAATTCTGTAGTAATTGAGTTACTAAAATTAATATTATGTTACACTATTTTCTTTACCAAGGCATTTTGTATATTTATGAATATATACATATGTATATATTACCACAAGTAAGAAGTGGCCTTTTGGAATTTAAATTACTTTGAAACATTTTGCACACTTATAGTTGTATTTTACAAATTTGTATTTGAAATATAAAACTCATAAATAGAATTATTTCAAGTTCATAAAGCACAGGAAAAAGCAGCCTTTCTAGTTTCTTTTTATCCCACTACAGGATGAACCTTGAGGATAGTGTTGCTCATATATGCAACTTGAATAACATCAGTAGTGCTTAGTATATTCTGGAGACTTAGTAAGTATTAATTTGTGAATCTTGTCAGCTAGTATTCTAAGAGTTAGTGTGTTTCTCCCAAAAGACACACACATTCAGGTATCCTTCCATTATGAAATTCCTTTCTTTTAGATGCTATTTTAACAAATGTGGTTAAATAAGTATCTGGCTCAGTGCCTGTTCCGAAGCAGTTAATTGATACACACTGCTGCTCTATGATGGCTCCACCGACCAGCGGCAGCAGCAGCAGCATCACCTGGGAGTGCTTTGCAAATGCAGAACCTCAGGCGATAGCCCAGTCTTACAGAACCAAAAGTTACATTTTAATAACGTCCCAGGTGATTCTGCTGCACATTAAAGTTTGAGAACTGCTGTGCCAAAGAGGTTTCGGAGGAGACAGCTGGGAGAGAAAACAGATGGTGTATAAAAGAAAGGAAACTTAAGAAAAAGGAAACTACTCAGGGACCTTTCAGAATAACTGGAAAACCTACCAGCGCTTCACTATTCCTGAGAGCATCGTTATAATTCCAAACAATAGATATTAAGAATCCTTTTAGTAAGGTAAAGTTGATATATAAATACCATACATAATTAATGCATACAATTTAATGTGAGATGCATAGGCTGTGAATCGATCCCCACAGCCATTCCACCAGCAGGCTTCCTTGTGTCAGCCCCACCCCTGTCCTAAGGACCTTGGACATGAGATGCGTCTTTTAGACATGGTTGGGTTGCCTTGGGGGACAGGGTGCTTGATGACTGGGTACCGGGCCTGTACCCCCTACTTACCAGCCAGTTGCCAAGGACAGGACATGGCATGCAGGGCAGCTGGCAGTATGGGGCTTAAGTGACACCCCCACCCCCTTTCTCCTCGGGGTGGTCTCGCAGTCTTTCCCAGGTCAGGGTTACTGGAGCTGATGGACACCAACTGCTAGGACAGCTACCAGCAAGTACAATTTATGGCCTTTATGTGTCCGGTGAGCACTGCTGGTGGAGCAGTTGTGAAGTGAGGTGCAGCTGAGCAGGTGAACCTACACGGTGAGGTCTCAGTGCAGTGCTCCTAGGCTGATGCGATCTGCTGCCTGGGCCCATGACCTACCCGGTTATGGGCAGCCATGGATCAGTATCCCTTTAGCCAGCCAGGGGACTGGATCCCGCAGTCCACCATCTGCTTCTGGAAACTGCACCCAAGTGCCATGGCTTCCAGGGCTGTGCTTTCGGTGCACCATCCCCGTGTGCTTGAGGATGCTCTCCTCAGCTTTCCCCTCCCAGAATAGTTGGCAGATGAGCAGAGGCCACACATCGAGGCCACACATAGTAAGTTCCCGAGGCGGGACAAGTGTCTGCAAAGCATGTGCTCCAGTGGTTGGAGAATGAGGCCCAGGCTGTACTGATACTCTACAACTGTAGTCAGCTTGTTGGGGTTGCAGCCATGGGAGGCCAGGAGAGGTGAGGAGGCCCAGCTGCGTGAGCCAAGGATTCCAGAGCAGCCCCATCCTCTGGGGAAAGCTCAGGACCCCAGTGACCAAGTGCAGCTGCAGGAGAAACGCCTCTGACACAGAGCCACAACCTGGGGAGGAGTGCCTACACTTACTTCCTAGAGTAGGATGGTGGCTACCACCCTGCAAGAATTGCAACAGCTGATGAGAAAGTGCCTTAAGGTGGGTGTATAGGGCACTGGCAGTGGGCTTCCAACAGTTTTAAAGAACGTGCCAGAAGTCATATAACCCTTACTAAATGAAGGATATCACTAAATTGTAAACTGAGCACATATTCCTGCCTGACAAAACTGCAATGTGTAGACCCTAAAGATACCCAGAGAGAACCAAATAGTCCAGAATGGGGGACACATTAAGTGCCCATCAAATGACAAATGAATAAGGAGAGGTGTATGTGTGTAATGAATACTATTCAGCTATAAAGAAGGTGAAATCTTGCCACTTGCAACAATAAGGATTGACCTAGAGGGTATTATGCTTCGTGAAATTAGCCAGGGAAGACTGACTCTGTTTATGTGGTAGACAGAGATAATAAGCATGTAACATAGTTGGACTCCAAGAGTGGTTAGTGGTATCAGAAGGGAAGGGGATAAGGCTGTATGAAGAAAAAGGAAACAGTGTCATGGTATAGAATAGATTTGGATGTTGAGAGGTTAATTAATGGAGTCTACACCCATTGCTTTTCAGTGATGCACACTGAAAAATTATAATGCAATATTACTTCAATAAAAGCAAGCCATAAAAATTTACCAAGGAATAAAAAAGAATTTGGAGAGATATATTTAATTTTTACTGTGATACTTGCTCTAAATATCTTTCCTATTTTGAAAAAACTTACTGAATATCAAAATACATCCAAAGGACAAGTATATAATCTAATGTATACTTATTAAACAACATATTAAAATTCCACATTCATTCCATACATTTTTTTTTCTTTTTCTGAACTGGAGGATTCATACATATTTACAATTTTCATGAACCTGTAGATTATATTCCTCAACTGCTACAATAAAATTTCTTTTCCGGCCCTCCATGGTGGCACAGCGGGTTAAAGCACTGCACAAAGAAGCTTAAGCCACTTCCGCATGAGTTCGATCCCTGCCTGCCCCAGAGGTGACCACATGGCGGGGCAGACCTCTCCTGACCCGCCCGCTGCTCCCCTCAGCAGTGTACTTCGTCGATCTGCCTGTTCTGCTCCCCACTCTGTCCCTGGTGAATCCTCTCTCTCTTCGTATCTCTGGCCTGTACCCCCATTCTGTATAAATATATATATATATATATATTTTCTTCTGCCACTATGCTAGTGTCTAAATATATAACCACATTTTGTTATAATTTAAAAATATCATTCTGATGAACTCAGTGACACTTCACTAAAATTATGAACAGTGGCATCTCATTCTCTGATTAGACATGGGAAATTTGTTCTGTTATCACACATAGTTAAAAACAATCAAATAATCCAAATCACTGGTTATAATGAATGGATTTGTTTATGTGACTAGGCATTTATTATTGCTACAATTAAAATATGTTTGCTCTCCTGGCTTTCTTCAGATATTTATAGCTTCATCTTTTTTTAATTATATAGGAAAAATATTAATGGAACAATTTGGACTCTGGTAACTGAAATTCTACATATATTTTATAATGCTATTAAATTCAAGGATATTAAAAAAAAGTTCTTGAAGTGTGGTAGATCAAATGTCAGTGTGTAGAACAGCTGAGTAATTCACTAAGAATATTACAGAGGTGATTGCACCAACTTGTTTTCACATATCTTATGGTGATAGATTAAAAAAGTGACTTTTCGGGCCCTCCCTGGTGGCGCAGCGGGTTAAAGCACAGCACTGAGAAGCTAAAGCCACTTCTGCATGAGTTCGATTCCCACCTGCCCTGGAGGTGACCACATGGCGTGGCGGACCTCTCCTGACCTGCCCGCTGCTCCCCTCAGCAGTGTACTTCGTCGATCTGCCTGTTCTGCTCCCCACTCTGTCTCTGGTGAAGCCTCTCACCGCCCCTGAACCTCTGGCCTGTACCCCAGTTCTGTATGAACAAATAAATAAATCTTTAAAAAAAAAAAGTGACTTTTTATTTTTCAAAAGACGGTGATATTTAGCGTTTTTGCGGGAAGTGTAATGATTGACATTTTAAGACATGTTTTGAACTTTTCTTCTAAAGCCCCATTTCAGCATTTATAAAATCCAGTTATTTTGGCCTAAAATCTTCACATTTTTGCGATTGAGTCAATAGGCAGTGTGATGAATCTGTAAAGATTTGGTGAGGCATTTGTACACTCATTGGGGAGTAGGCAGATTAATCCAGTGACCATCTGCAGTGGATAAAATGGTTATGTTTGTGGACTTATTTTGTGTATTAATGTAAAATTTATTGCCTAAACTGGGATATGTGAGAAGAATGAGGGGAGATTATCAATTGTTCTGCTAGGACAATAGGGATAAACTGGGGCAACCCTGAGCAATCAGGTTACATGGCTGCTCTACCCATGAAAGTTTCTCTGTTCCAGGGAAGTGTGTCTCTAGGAATGCGGATTGTCCTAGGTGGAGCAGAGATAAAGGATTCCTTGGTTAAGTCTCAAACCAAAAGTTTGGATCATTCAAGCACTTTTTTAGTGGTCCAGTACATATTTTTTGTGTATTACCATATTCCATCAACTGACTTAGAAGAACGGAGAGGTAGCCTAGTTAGTGAAGCTCTCAGAGGATTTTTTAGGTGCCCAGGAGATAGTCATATAGTTCACAGGTACTCAAGACTATTGCTGGAAAATAGAAGAGATTCGCTTATGGGTATTTTTTTAAATCAAAGTAGTCAGTCAGAGGTGAGAAAAGAAAACACATATCCAGAAGCAATGGATTTCCAGTGTGGTATATAAATGAATAGCATTTTTCTTATCATGTTGATTCATCATTAGTTAATGTGCAGGATCTTTTCATAATTATCCTGTAGTCGAGTCACTTGTTTTAATATTTTGGAAATTGCTATCAGGGAAAATACTATTTGTTAATAAAGGAAAACAATTCTTATGTTATTTCTGTTGTCTGAATGTCTAAATGAGCTTATGAGGTCTAAACAATTAACTGACATGTAGAAAAACTTTAAGTGGTTCTGTTATTTGCATAGTGTACTTCAACATTTTAATTATTGACATGTTAGTGCTAAAATATCTGGTCATGGAACCAGGGATCCCTGTTTATAGACACTTGAAGATCTTTTGATTACTAAGATATAATGAACTTAATATACTGGTGTAATTGGTCATATTATTTAAAATTAAAAGCAATGATTTTAGATAAGCCTGTTGAATATTGGAGTCTTGTAGAATATGAGACAGAGCCCTGGTTTGGGTTGGCTTCCAGTATAAAGTTTTAAAAATTGTGTTGTTTTTGTTGAGGTAATGTTGTTTACAATACTGTATGTGATTTAGGAGGACAGGTTTACACCTCTTTAGATGAATGTTACTGTGACAAACCTACCACCATAGTACCTGTAATCTTTTAGCATAGTTGAGGTATAAATCTTGACATCAGAGATGATGAATAGCAAAGTTTTGATGTTCTGTTGATTAAAGTTTGTCATCACCAGTTTACTTAGGCGAACTCCTATTTTTCTCTTTGCGGACACTTCCACTTACTATGGAATTTATTTGTGAGGACTAATTGTATATAAACAAGATTCTTGGTACATACTTGCATTTCAGTGGTAATGTGTCTGTTACTATTTTAATAATTTTTATTAAAGGCAATAGCAATATGATCCCAGGGAAGTTGCCAATAATTTGGGTGTTTTATGACAAAGAAATTTTTGCTTTCTATTGTTATAAAATGTCTCATTTTTGGAAACAGGTGTAAAATTAGTTAATTCATTACTCTCCACAGCTGCTATCTAAGATAGGCTGGTACTTTGATTCTTATTTTGGCAAAAGGAAATTTAATCATATAAAATCTACCTTCTTGAAAATATAAATCAAGTTGTCAAAATTTCTCTCAAACTTGCTTTTATTTTTCTCATGAATTTGTAGAGAGAAAACTTGGAAAGATGCTTATGAAGCTTATTCCAAGTCTGACTCTCTCTGGAACTTGTTCTGATGTGATAAAATTATGAACAAAGTATTCCCCATATTTTAATGATATATTAAAAGGGAAAAAAAGGTGCATTTTTCCCCAATTTTTGCAATACCAAACCGAATAGGAATGTGTGTGTAAATATATATACATATATATAATAGTTAATTAATAGGCATGTATATGTAATAGTTAATTAATTTTATATGATTTTGTGCATTTTTCCACCTCATTTGCAACCCCCTTGGGCTTCCCATCACAAAATCACCCATGTGCCATCACCATAGTCCAGTACATTTCCCCCCGCCCCCCCCCAGCTGTTTTTGATCCCACTCCCTACTCCACACCTGCAGAATGTCTCTGGTATATAGCTGTTCATCATTATCATTATTTTCTTGCCTGTTCTGTTAATTTCCTGCTATGGAGGAACCATCCAGTATTTTTCCTTTTCTTTCTGGCCTATTTCACTAAGCATGATCTTTTCCAGTTCCTTCCATGTTGCTGCAAAAGGCATGTGTTTATTTTTTTGGTTGCTGAGTAATATTCCATTGTATATATGTACCACATCTTTTTAATCTAGTCATCCATTTTTGGGCATTTGGGCTGTTTCCATGTCTTTCCAATTGTGAATAAAGCAGCAATAAAGATGGGACTGCAGTGTTTTTGTGTCTTTTGGGTAGATACCTAGGAGTGGGATTGCTGGGTCATAGGGAAGCTCCATGCTTAGCAGTTTGAGAAACCTCCAAACAGTTTTCCATAGTGGTTGTACTAGTTTGCATTATCACCAGCAGTGCAGGAGAGTTCCTTTTTCCACATCCTTGCCAACATTTGTTGTTGCTAGTTGTTTGAAGATGTGCCATTCTCACTGGGTGAGGTGGTATCTCATTGTGGTTTTAATTTGCATCTCCCTTATTACAAGTGATTTTGAACATTTTTTCATATGCTTGTTGGCCATCTGCATTTCCTCTTTGGAAAAGCGTCTTTTTAGCTCTTCTGCTTACCAAATAGGCATTTTTTAAATGATTTATTTATTTATGCAAGAACTGGGGTATATACCAGAGATGCAGGGTGTGGGTATGTGAGAGGATTCACCAGAGACAGGGACAGGCAAACTGACTGAAATACACTGCTGAGGGCAGCAGTGGATGGGTCAGGAGAGGTCTGCTGCATCCTGTGGCGGGAGACTGAACTCATGCTGCAGTGGCTTCAGATAGCTTCATAATGTGGTGCCTTAACCTGTTGTGTCACCTGAGAGGGCCCCAAATAGGCATTTTTAAAGAATATCATGCAAGAATGAAACCAAGAAGCTCAAGTTCCTAAAATGTCCAGAATTAATTTATACTCCCACCTTTCAAATGGATTTTTTCCTACCATTTCATATGGTTAAATAGTGTTTCACCTGTCTTATAGACAGAAGCATATAGAAAATAATGCCACACAAAGCTCTTGGAGAGCCTTGTGAAACTGAAAAATGCAAAACTACTGTGATAATTGTACACCATTCACTACAAAGTGAAATAATTATATTGACCTCCTAAACTGATTGACTGATTTAGAATCCAAGTTTTTCAACATGTTCCTGCTTCATTCTCATCGTTTCCCCTTTATGCATAATAGCAAATCGTCTCACCTGTGACTTTGAGTCTGGTTTCTGCGGCTGGGAGCCATTTCTCACAGAAGATTCACACTGGCAATTCATGAAGGGGTTGACCAGGGGAGAGCAAAATCTTTCTCATCCTGACCATCCAGCAAACAAAAACCATGGTAGGGTATTGTCTTCTTGTCTTCTTTTTAAAAAAAGTTCCTCTTTTTCATGTTGAATGATATTATGTATTTCCAGCATGTATGCTGATGTTGTATTTTCAATTTTTTGTCTATAGGCTATATAAATGGAATTATAATTTATTTACTTAAATTTTCCTGATTGACTAATTTGTAATTAGTTTTATGGAATGAACATTGTTTTAACCACCAACAGTTAGGTTGCATAATTTAAAAGGTTGAATTGCCGGCATGCAGAAGGAGAAAGTCAAGAATCTTGTCTAGGTACCAGGAATTATAATAGTAGGCTTGTCTTTGTTTTGGAGCAATCTAATTTTTGTAAAATAGAAAGAAAAATAATGTAATCTTTCTGAGAACAGATATTTAGCACTACCTATAAAATAAACCTACAAATGTTTAAATTCAAGGATTTAAAATTTATTGTAAGAGGCTAACTTACTTCTTTGTATATGTGTTTAGAAATTATATTTGTGTAATGTTTACAAATATCCCTGAAATAGAGCAATCATAGCATTCTAGTAAGAGTTTATTAAACCCCGAGAAAAACAGAAGAGTTTTGTCCTTTTCTCTTGCTTTGTTTTGATGCTATTGCCAGCGTACATAAGTGTAATCTTAACTTTATAGTGAGAGAACTATATTTTAGATCCACTTTAAGATATGTAACACCACTGAACATTGTTCTACTGGTTTATCCTTTGAGATTTCCAAATAACTATGCCAAACTAACAGTGTGCTTTTAATTGCAGTCCTTGGAAATTGGGGTTAGTAGCAGGATATTAGGGGGAGGGAAACTTTATGAATCATCTGTTGTCTGTACCTTAAACTCAGCTCAATTTGAAGGTGAAGATCTTAATTTTTAAAACATCTCCTTGGTATACTGTAACCCCACTGTTCTCTTAACTCAATATATACTGCAAAAAAGACTTTTAAGAGGCAAATCCAGAGACAGATTCCTAGAATTCCTGTTCTAAGTTTAAAATTAGCCTCACTTTACCCCTTACTTACATAAAACTCTAAGACAACATTACCTGTTTTCCAAATATTTAGCTAAATTGCATTCAGCTTTCATGTCAGTTTTCATCAAGTTAATATTTGTATAATATTAAAGATAATTTAAATTTACATAATTATTTAATTTTTATATCATTTTATAAAATTATATATACTTTATTTTGAATAAAAACATGTTATTTTTTTCCATTTCAACAGAGGGTTTTTGTCTTCCACAATTCATGATAATGTTCTCCATATGAGTCTTATATAAATTCCTGATAATTTACCCCTATGTATTTTCTATAAATAAAATAAGTATACTGAATATTTGTCATGGAAAGCCCAAATAAACTGGGTTCTGTTTTTCTTGCTCAGAAATGGCACTGCTGATTTGCAATCCTGCTTGTTTAGCTATGTACATGGTAATCTCTAAATAATAACACATCATTTATATTAAGTCAGCATTGAACTCAATCTTGAAAAATCATCTCAAAATGGTATTTTTCAAGCAAAAGACTTTGCTTTCCAAGTTGCCCATCACTTTGTGACTGTCAAAGGGCGGGATCAGATCTTGAGGTTGTTTGGCATAGTTTTGCAAATTTTCAGTATTCAAGGAAGCTACCCCTGACAGCAGTTCAGCATGTGGAATTTTTGACTGCTAAGCGATGTTATCCCCTGTACCTGAGCTGTAAGCGTATCACTGTAGTTGAAATCTAAAAGCAGTTATTTTGAGATTAGATCTTTAATTAAGCTTTCATCCTCACTAGCACACACACAATGTCAAGCATGTCTGACTCAGAAGAAACCAAACTCATCCCATAGCCTCATATCCCTTAGTATTTGATCAAGAAACTTAAAAACAAAGCTCTCATGTAATTTCATAAGAGTCTATTGAATATCTAACCATAAGCTTATAAGCTTCATTTAATTTTACTTCAAAATCTATTATATGAGTTAAACCAATAAAATATTTATTAAGCAAGATCTTATTTTCAGTCAATTGGTTTTTATTTTAGGTATTTAATATTATCCATATGAAAGAGTCTAGGTTATCTATAGAGCTTTATGGTAAATAAATAAAAAATGTATTTGTCCTTATTTGACTGACAATTGAATGTGTGCAAGAATAAGTTGTGTGAGAGAAAAAATACTAAATGTGCAACAGTTGAAATTTATCCATACGACTTGGCATTTGCTTTTGCAGGGTCATTTATTTATTTTGGAGCACAGCAACTTCCTGGAGTGGCCAGGCTCAGAAGTCCTATTCTTATAAAATCCTACACTGCCTCTACCCCATGCCAGGTAATCAACTACTGGAATTTTCTTGACCATTCTGCTATTGGACTTGTATTACTCATATTCCTAAATCTTGCTATTTTCATGATGATTTGATATATATATATAGATATATGGTTATAAATATCTATATATATGAACTATTTTACCAGCAAATGTCATATTGTTCTAGAAAATATTTGCAACATATAACTTATACCATTCATTTTGGGGACAGTCAAAGTATATGTCTGTCATTCAGTAGTCTTCCACATAGTTCTTTCAATATTTAAAAATCTGGATAGAGCTTTATATCAGTAACAGTGCTAATTCAATAAAATAAAATCATATAGGTAGTACTTATTGAAAGATAAAGGAATATATAAATAAAGATAAAATGTGCAAATTTTGAACTTGCACTTTTAGTATTTATATTCTACCCCACATTAACTGTATTTGAAATTGTTTATAGTATTTATATGCCCGGGGAATGAGATCTTTGTTAATAAAGTTAATTTTTAGAATCTTGATTGGCTTTTTAAAATACCCAGTTTTCTAAAAATTTTATTTGTTCAGTTAGTCTGCTGTTACCAGATAAACACAGAACAGGGCTACTCAGTTCACAGTAGAGAAAACAAAAGGACCTTGGAATTAGACAGATTTGGTTCAAATCTTTTTGCCATTTTCTCAGTATCAGCCCTGTCCTTAATTATATATTCTCTTTGAAACCCAGTGTCTACATTGTAGGCATATGTATTAGCTTATTTCCTTCACATGGTTGTGAGAATTAAAAGGTGGTTAAATAAAGGAAAGTATGAGACAAATTATTTGTCTCATAGTAGGTGTTCACTAAAAATAATTCAGTTTCTTTCCATAAAACTAGCACCTAAAAAACAAAGCAAAACAGAAACTAGCACACCTAAATTACATGGTTCTATTCAGGCTTCTTTGTTTTCAGTCCCTTTGAGAAATCTACCATGTCTTGACTATTAGAATTTCAGTTCATTTTTTGGTTGAGTTACCAGAAAATGATGAAGAAATCAATACTGCCCCCCACTAAATTCATCTCTTGTGAATGTAAGGTTACAGCAGTTTACATGAGCATTTCTAGTGGTGAATTTCATATCACTCAGCTGTATAAATCTAAGTGCTCAGAACTCTTAATAGGTTGTCCTTCCTCTTTCATTCCCTCCCACATTGGTTTTGCTTATTTTTAAATGTGAATTAGAAGTGACAACTGCCTGGACTCTTTTCCACCTCACACAAATGCACTCACCATTTTTGTTCTTTTGCTTTTTTTTAAAGTTAAAACCTATGGATAGTTATAGATTTTTTAGAGTTTCTGAAGCATTTACTTGCTTTTTGAAAGTGCTTTATAAGCTTTAGCTTTATTTCAAGGCCATATATTAAAGTATCTTAATCACTGCTGTTGTAGACATTCAAAAATCTAGTACAGAAAAAACAGAATGTGTTAATTCTGTTTCTTTTACAGACATATGAAAATGAGTACTAACAACTTATTAGAAATTCCTGAGATTTGCTGAGATGGTCTTTCTTTTTTCAGATCTTGGGTTCTCATTGTATGCTGGTAGTCATTAATTTATGGTTGTTGCTATTGGGTTTCAAGTTATAATTGCTTTCACTTGAAGACATAGTTCTCTGTTGTTGCTAAAATTTAGAGTTGGCTGTGGGAAGTTATTTAGATGGAGTTTCATTAAAATAATAGTTTAGACACTTGATTGTTTGCCTCTCAGAACCAAGTCCTCAAGCTCCCAAGGCCTCAGATATTGATTTAGGGGTACTGCCAGAAAAGGTATTTGCTTTTTCCCTTTTGACCGTGTCTGCTTGAATGTTAGTAATCCTTGAATTAAAGGCAGGGATATTTGGATTACTTTATAATATTTTCTAGTTTTGGCATTACTATTAGAGTGTTAGTATAGATTATTATCAGAGCTATGTGTAGCTAATGTTCTTTCCCAAAAAAGTGTTCTAAGAATGTGGTATTACTCTTTTTTTTATAATATAATAGTTTACATCATTTTGTAATTTTTTTTTAATCTCAATTGTAATCCCCGTGGGTTTCCCATCACCGAGTGGTATTACTCTTTTTTTATAAGTACATGGTAATTTGTGATATTAGTGTTTTCTTTTATAAAATTTACAGAACAATCAAATAAACCAGCTTCTTAATGAGTAGTCAGAAAATCCAACTGATCTTCTTAATTGAACATATTAATAGCTTTATCATGGAAGAACATGTGTTCTAAATTGGTAAAATGGTAAAATGAGGCAGTTAGATAACCAGAGTTGCATATTTTGATGTGACTAATGCTTTGCTCTATGATATTATATAATCTTACCCTGCATAAGCAAATCAGTTAAGAACCTTTTTTTGAACAAACTTATATGCACGTGAACCTTTCCTTTGAATATCCTTCTCTAACAGCAGATTTTTGGGGGTCATTGTGCTTGAATCACCTGGTGATTTATGGATAGCCAACACATGGCATCAATGTGCACAGTTTTTGTTGTTGTTGTTGTTGCAACTAAGCATTGTATAAGATGTGAACTTTCATTTAAAATCTTCACAAGTCCTTCCATTATGGGCTGAAACTTGGCACTTTTCCTTGGAATAGCTAGGAACTAGTGCAGACACATACATGGAGTTCAGAAGTGGCAAACTTCTGGTGTTGAAATGTGGTTACTGTTATCAATAAGCTAGGAAATATCAAAATATCAAAGGAGTTTATGTAAATTAATATTTTCTAAATTCTCATATTTGAATTGTACAAAGATAATGCATGTCACTGTTGGGATTTCACAATCAAATATAAGAAGATTGATTAATATGAACCTTCTGCTTTCAGTGCTTGGAGATACATTTGTCTATTTTTTTAAACTCCTCAACTTACTTTAATTTTTTTCTGTAAAAGTGTATTTTTAAAAAGTGAATGTAGATATCAGGGGAAAGATAGGTGAAGCGAGAGATGTGTTGGTTCCAAAAATACATTTTATTAGGGTCAGGTAAATATTTGAAATGAAGTTTTTCAGTAGTCAATGAAGATGGAGACACACAAGTCATCTTTTTTTTTTTTTTCATGTTTGAGGAAGTAAAAAGAAAAAAATAGTTTCTCCCTTGAGGGCTCATGGAGTGCTACTGTTAACATTCTTTGTCTGATTCAGTACTCTGCAAATGTATTGTGGGGAGTGCTGTGGGAACAGTGTAAACACACACTTACCCTGACAAAATAGTTTAGTGAGGGGTATTGTCAGCAAGGTGGTATTAAGTGTTATGAGAGGCCGGGTGTGGTATGAATCCACTTACACCAACTCTGTCCAAGCATTTTAAAAGGCCTTCGTGGAAATCCAAAAGAAATAAAGGCAATCCTTCAATTAATATTTTATTTTACTTATTTTTAATAAACCAGTCATGGATTAAAAAAGCATTTTCTTTTAAAATGATAAGTAGAAAAAAATTTCAATGACTAATATAATTTTAATTTACATGTCTTACAGCTCTGTGTAATAGAATTTTCTTTGATGATGGAAATTTTCCACTGGTGTGTCCAGTATCTATAGCTAATGAGCACTTAAAATGAGAGAAAATGAATTTTCATTTTGTTTAATGTTAATTTATGTGTCCAAAGACACATACATTTTATCTTTGTGTAATACACACTCTAGTGTAATTATTCCTTTTTTTTTTTTCATTCTCCCCATAAACCTGTCAAGCTCCTAAGGCCATCTAATGCCTTGTGTAATTTTCAGACATAAAGCAGGTTCCCCTCCCCCCACAAAGATTTATGAACATTTACTGAGGCCCTGATGATTTTCCTTTTTAAAATATCTATTTACTGGGCCCTCCCTGGTGGCGCAGCGGGTTAAAGCACAGCATAAAGAAGCTTAAGCCACTTCCGCATGAGTTGGATCCCCGCCTGCCCCGGAGGAAATCCACAGGGCGGGGCAGACCTCTCCTGACCTGCCCACTGCTCCCCTCAGCAGTGTACCTCGTTGATCTGCCTGTTCTGCTCCCCACTCTGTCTCTGGTGAATCCTCTCACCCTCTGCATCTCTGGCCTGTACCCCAGTTCTGTATGAATAAATAAATAAATCTTTAAAAAAAAAAAAAAAGAAATTTGTTTTTGGAAATAAATATTTTTTTTAAAAAAAATCTATTTACTGAATATCTACTAAATCTCAATTATCATAAAATGTTCTGTGAGGAACTCTCAATCTGCATCAATGTTGAGCTCATGACCTACTCTGTTTTAACAATAGCACATGAGAACCTCACAGGTGACCCACTTACTCTGCGCTTGTCTGGAACCTTAGCTGCATCTTTTTTAGTTTAATTGTTTTTTATTGATGTAATATAGTTGATGATACTACATATGTTTTGGAAGCAAAGCTTTGTATGAAGTTAGGGTGTATGTTACCGCACCTCAGTTTCTACTGACAAACAAGTAATCTACCTGGCCCACTGGGCCCCTTTCCTCTACTCCTCAGCCCTGACCGCCCCACTCACTAGTCTCAATTCTGCAATTAGATCTTTAGATTTGACGAGGATTGTTCCTTCCAATGTATTGATTCTTTAGTCATTATATAACAGCCATCCCTGTTTCTTTTTACCTTTCAGCTGGAAATCCACTTTAGAAGATATATACATGACTGTCTCTGTTTTTTTTTTTTTAGGATACAATTTTCTTGTAAGATTGTTTTCCAATTTTTTTTTTTTACTTTGAGCCTGTGATTATATTCTGAGCTCTGGCAAATCTAGAGAAGGTGCAATGCTGGGTTTTGTGTTCTGAGCTAACTAATCACTTTGTGGCTTTTGATCCCATTGATGTTTGGGAAAAGAATATATAAGTATTTGTTTTCATTTTGCACTTTTTTTTCTGAATGTTTTTTCAGTTTGTTCTTTTGTTCATGTTCTCTTGTATATTAAAAGATAACTTTTGTATAGATAGTGTTTAGATTCAATTTTTATCTTCTTTGTTTCTTCTAGGTATTTTTGTTTAAAAGTTACCATGTAGTTTATATATAGGGTATTTATACTTAAAATCTTTTTTTTTTAAGATTTATTTATTTATGCTTACAGAACTGGGGTACAGGTCAGAGGTGTGGTGAGTAAGAGGATTCACCAGAGACAGAGTGGGGAGCAGAACAGACAGATTGACAAAGTACACTTTTGAGGGGAGCAGCGGGCGGATCAGAAGAGTTCTGCCAGCCATGTGGGTCACCACCCAGGCAGGAGATCGAACTGGTGTGCAGTGGCTTCTGAGAGCTTCATAATGTGATGCTTTAATATGTTGCACCACCAGGGAGAGCCCTTAAAATCTTTCTTAAATTTAAAGCAAGTCAATCTTGAGTTTGTTACACTGGTTCCCATTATTGCTCTCCTTCTGCATATAATCCTTCATTTCTGTGATTTTTGGCTTCTACATGAAATTTCTGTTAATTTTATAGAAGTTCTTTATTACTTTTGCAACTAGTTTAGAGGAGCTGAATTCCTTTAACTGTTATTTCTTTATAAAACTATTTTTTAAAATGATTTATTTGTTTATGCATACAGAATTGGGATACAGCCAGAGATACAGGGTGGTGAGAGGATTCACTAGAGACAGAGTGGGGAGCAGGACAGGCAGATCAATGAAGTACACTGCTGAGGGGCAAGACAGGAGAGGTCTACTGCACCATGTGGGACACTCCTGAGCCAGGAGAGGTCTGCTGTGTCTTGTGGGTTCCCTCCCCAGTCAGGTATTTAACTCACACTGAAGTGGCTGTGGCTCATTGTGCCAGCAGGGAAGGCCTCTTTATAAAGCTTTTTACTGGTCCTTCAATTATAAGTATTAGCTGGCTAGCTGGGTAGGGGATACTTGTTTGGAGGTCTTTTCCTTTCAGTATTTGAAAATCCCATGCCATTCCCTGGAGCCTGAAAGGTTTCTGCTGAGAAATCTTCTGATTATCTTAGGGGTCAGGGACTCGGTTATATGTGAGTCTTTGTTTTATCTTATCCAGGTTCATTTGACTAGACACTGTGGGAAGTCCCAAGAACCTTGTTAGAAGGCTCAAAATGTGCCTTTTCCAGTGCCCCAATACTATTCCTGGTGGGATTGTTTTCAAGCTTTTCTACTCTATCTGGTGGTTTAATTCTCTCCTCACTGTGGAGCTGCTGATCATCAACCTCGTCTCTCTTCTATGCAGTCACTTCTTGACAGATGATACTTTACTCTGCCAATGTAGGAAGAGACTTGAGAACCTGCTAACCTACTGTCTTGTCCCTTACCTGTCTTAATTTTTTTGTTGTTCAGTGATTTTAACATTACCAATACTAAATTTGAAAAGACCATATAAATTTTCTTGGTCTAAGATAAACTTAGGAATTCTCTTTAAGAGGCAAATTCATTTAAAATACTAAATTAAATATAAGTTCCAAGTTTCTATTCTATTGAAAATGGATGTCATTGGTATTTACTCTTAATATACTATTAAAATAACTGTACTGATGTATTGAATGCCAGTTTGACACCTTGAACTTCTGCCAGGGTATGTACATCTCTTGTGCAACAAGCTTTTAAAACTCCATGTTGCATTTTTACAAGTTTGGAACATGCTGAAACTCTAGCAGGGATTTAAAATTTAATTGTAGTCAAAGAATCTAAATCTTCCCTTTTCTTAGAATTTAATTAAACACTTCCATTTGAGTTTAAGTTCTCACTTACCTGAGAAGTCTTCATTTAGTTTCCCATTGTAGTAAAAGTTTATTTTTAGTTCAAGTCAACTTGGTATTACCACCTAATAAACCCACTATCAAATCAACCATAGCCACCACCATAGTCCATGGTACTCTCAATTTTCTCATCAAGCATTTAAAGAAATTTGGTCAACTTTCACCCTAACTGAAATTGGTGCCAACAGTGAAATAAAGGAGTGATCTAATGTGTACTAATGTCTGTACAACATAATAAAGTAAAGTGAGAAAGAGAAAACACAACTTAAAATGTATTGAAATCGAAAAGGAATCACTTGAATCTCTACTGAAGCATTTTGTTTGTCAGGAACCTCATCTCTGAATGTTGTGAGTTTCTTTAAAATAAGCAGTGTTAGGAATCCTTATGTCATGGAGTGGCTGTGTTATCTGGACAATTTTTTTATGGGTATTGTGTTGACCTTTTTAATTGAGTGAATTATTCATCCATAGAGGGGATTAATTTTGCCTTGCACAATATCCAGTGCTTAGTAAATATTGGTTGCAAAGTGGCAGTGCCAAATTATATACCATAGCTGTTGCTATCAGTACCTAAAATAATTATTTTTCTACTTTCCTTTTCTACCTAATCTGTCAAACCTTTATTATCATTGATGATAAGTCAGAGAAAAAATGATCAAGTTTCCCCTGTTTGTAAAAGAACATGTTCTTACTCAGAATCAATTATCAATAAGCAGCATTGTGTGAGCCCTGACATTCTTTGATAATATCAGAGTAGAGCAGAGATTAATGAAAATCATGAATTAATTTTTTTTAACCATACGGCATAATTTTTATCAAGAAAAATTTTTCTTTATTTGTTGTTTGATGTTCCAATGAGAATATGTAGTAAAAACTGATTCTGTAACTTTGAGTCAGAGTGTATACCTCCCAAAAGGATGAGAGATGGATCCTGGGAATCTTTCTTGAAAGGGGAGTGATACTGCCCATGACAGAGTGAACAAATATTTGCTCTCAAACTTATCCTGATGGTTTGCCAGTGGCCCATTTCTTTAGACATCTGTATGGTATGTGTTAAAAATACCAGTGAGTATAATCATGTTGTGGCTTTCCTTTGGTAGGAAATGAAAGACTGGCAGAGGACATACTTGACATTTTTCCATACTTGCACAATTAGGAAAGTAGAGAGTCAAGATTTTATTTAACACCAAAGTATTTAAGTATTTATATTTAGATATATATACAAAACCTATTAGAGATAGGTAAATGGAATATTTATATCACCCAAACACTTTTCAACAGGTGCAGTTCCGGTATCATCTGTCTCAGAATTCACATCTCTCTGTGTTTACGAGAACATCACTGGATGGAAATTTACAAAAGCAAGGTGATCTAACTGGAGTCTCTGAATCTCAGTGGAGACAAGCAAAAATCGATCTCTATGTGAAGACTGGAGAATCTACTCTGCCTTTTCAAGTGAGCATTTAAGTAATTAAAACACATTAACTGAAGATAACTGATTTGATGCTAATCTTTTAAGACAAATATAGTATATATTTCCTATAAATTTACCTGGTATTAATAAAGTAAGCACATTCACAATCAGGAATTAGTAGAGAAGTTATCTTGACTATGAGCTTGAGACTGTGGAAGCATTGCAATGAGGAATGAGAACTGAATAGGATGGTAGAGAGAAGAGTAATTTAATAGGAAATTTTTTTTTAAAGATTTATTTATTTGTGCATACAGAACTGGGGCACAGGACAGAAGCTCAGGGGCAGTGAGAGGCTTCACCAGAGACAGAGTGGGGAGAAGAACAGGCAGATGGATGAAGTACCCTGCTGAGGGGAGCAGCGGGCGGGCCAGGAGAGGTCTGCCGTGCCATGTGGTCACCTCCGGGGCAGGCGGGGATCGAACTCATGCGGAAGTGGCTTTAGCTTCTTTGTGCTGTGCTTTAACCTGCTGCGCCACTAGGGAGGGCCTAGGAACATATTTTTTAAGTGAGGTTGGTAGTTATTGAGATAGTATAAAATATGTTATCAACTATGCTGAAATATTTAATATTTAATCCTATTGCCTCATTTTCTGATGCCCAATAATACTGAAGGACTGATCAAATTTGGGTGTCATTTTCTTGGTTAGTAATAAAAAATGCATGTGTAGCTTATTAAATGGGAGCTTCCTGGATGTAACTCCCTTCTGAGTGATTTTTGGGAAGAGCATTTTTAGAAACTATTGCTAGGTAGGATGGTAGAAACAGTGTAAAATACAATGCCTTTGGAATCAGCTGGTGTGAGTTTTTATCTCTGCTCAGCTCATGGGTTGCTAAGTGACTGCTCATATAACATCTTTGAACTTCAGATTTCCTAATCTTTGAAAACTGCAATAATGATAAAAGCAATGCTTTAGGGGAGTCCAAATATTACAAAGAAAGTAATTAAAATGATGGCTATGAACTTGGGTTCTGGAGCCTAGGTTTCAAGCTTACTTGTTAGCAAAGTTGCTTAATTCCACTGCATTTCTGTTTCTTCCTCTATAATAGAGAGTGAGATCACTTTTGGGATATTAACAGCTCTTGCGCTCCTCAACAATTCTGATTCAAAGTGAGTTAAATACAGAGGTCAAATAAAGAGCAAGACATTTTAGAGATAATGTCTTTAGAAGCAGCAGTGATAGTCAAAATAATATTTCACATCCAAATAAGCAGATTCACCCAGAGAATGACAGACTCTGCTGGAAAAGTGCAGGACTCCCATTTTGGGGAAACCTTTTCCCATTAACCAGAGATTATAATTCAATGCATGCCTCCTGAAGACCAGCTGACTACCAAAATGGAGGGTAGGGTATGTTGAATGAGTGACAAAGAGGATGAATTGAATGTGCCCAGCTTATTCTAATATCAACATTCTGGTTGAATAAGTGGTTAGTAACAGTAGTGTTATTGCAGGAAGTTCCTGCCCACAGAAATAGGAAGAATAGGGAGTTCACATAAATTCCTATTAACATTATTTGTCTTATAGAACTATTATGAGAATCAAATGATTTATACATGTAGAGCACATGAAAGATAATCTGGAATCAGCAAACACAGAAAACTTGCTGTGGCTGTGGTTATTAGAAATGGAAATGTTAAACACTCAATAAATGTCATTATATTTCTTTATCTGGGAGTCTACTCTTGACTTGAAGTCTGGTTTCATTTATTCAAGGCTTTTAATCAGTGAAGATGTTAAAACTCCCTGTATTTGCATGAACCACTTTTATGTTTCCACTTCCATGAATCTAATAACTCTCGATTGGAAAACATTTAACAGAAAGACCAGCTATAGATTATAGTGTCAATCTCTATTACCTGTAACAAGACAAGGAAAATCAGAACAATTTGAGTCCTTGTCTCATTTGTTTATATTCTGTCTATATATTTTTTTTCATTAGGGTTACTTTTAGTTAGAATAAAACTTTTAGTGTCTAATTGACATTATTGCTAAGAAAACAGAATGTCTTTGTCCACACCAAAACCTGAAAATGTATGTTTATAACATCTTTGCTTACAATTGCTGACCAAGATGCCCTTCAGTAGGTGAATGAGTAAACAAACTGTGATATATCTAGACCATAAAATATTATTCATTGTTAAAAAGAAATCACCTATCAAGTCATGAAAACACATTGGGAACATTAAATGCCTATAATTTAGTGAAAAAAATACCAATCTGGAAAAGGTAGATACCATATGATTCCAACTATATGGAATTCTGGAAAAGATAAAACTATGAAGACATACAAAAAAAAAAATTAGTGGTTGCCAGGGATTGTGGGACTGAAGGAAGAGGAGGCATGAGAAGGTGGAACACAGAGGATTTTTTATGGCAGTGAAAATACTCTGCACAGTAGCATAATGATGGATGCATGTCATTGTACACTTACTATAGTACCTAAAGTAAGCCATAATGTAAATCATGAACTTTGGGTAATGTTGATATATCAATGTAAGTTTACTGATTATAACAAATATGCCATTCTGGTAAGGGGTGTTGACACTGTGGTATAAATGTATGTGCAAGGCAGGGGGTGTATGGGAAATCTGTACCTACGCTTCAATTTTACAGTGAGCATAAAACTACTCTAAAAGTCTTAAAAACAAAACAAACAAAACAAGACACAACACAACAAAAGAAACACTTATTGGCCTTCACTGGAAGTAGTTACTCAAGAAGTATGAGTTTGAATTCAGAGACGCAGGTTAACCTATCACCATTATTGAAGAGTTTTGGCATAGTATATATATTTTTTCTTTAAAAATTCTTCCTTCCTTTGGGGTTTTAAATTTTGTCTTGTTTTGCAGTGCAAATACAAATTACTCTTTATTTTCTGGAACATACTAAGGTTGTAGATTCTAAGGCCAATGGTAGGGCTTTATAATTTGGCAGCAAGATTTGTGATATTTCCTAACACAGCTCTGCTCATCTGCCTCTGTCCTCCTTCATTCTCCTCCATGATGGCTCGTCACCACATTTTGACTTTTCTCTCTCTCCCGCTGGGGATTCCCAATCAGCACTGGTCAACTTTAGTTTATTGTAGTGTTCTTTAAGGGGGTGAATGGTTCTGGCTTCTTGTTAGTTAGTCCTCAGCTATGTGTGATTCACTCGTGCGAAGTAAGAGTTTTAGTCCTTGCCTCTGCTCCTTTTTTATTCTCTTGGTTGGCAGTAGTTAGGATTTGTTTTGAAAACAACAAGAATATTCCTTCAAATTTCACCATCACAGGCCATCGCAGGTCCACAATCTCCAGTCAGTATTTTGGAAAATTGGAACTTGGAGAATAATGATACACTTTGAGAAATGAAGTGAAAAGCAAAACTAACCTGATCTGAAGCCGTGTGACAGTTCATTTAGAGATGGGTTTGGTTACAGGTACTGCCCCCAGCCTCTCTGAGAGTGTCACACAAAAAAATTAAAAATAGATGATGTGTCAGATTAATACTCTGAACTGTTCAAAGGAATTCTGAACACCCTCTGGACCCCAAAAATTTAGGTAAGGAATTTCAGGCATGTGTTAACATTCTGGTGTGAATCAGTCCAGATTTTACACACAAACACACACACACAAGACTTACTTAAATATATAGTCACACACAGATATACACACAGTATTTCATATGTTAATATTACACGTGTTTTGTATATTAAGTATTTCAAATAAAATAAAAATAAAACATACTCATACACCTCAAAATTACTAAATATTTTTTTAAGATTTTATATATTCATACAGAATTGGAGTACAGGCCAGAGATGCGGAGGGTGAGAGGATTCACCAGAGACAGAGCTGGCAGCAGAACAGGCAGATCGAGAAAGTACACTGCTGAGGGGAGCAGC